TTTTTTTTGTGTGTGTTTATTGTTCATTCTTCGAGAGATACTAACAAAAAATGTTATATTCTAATGGAAAATCCTACGGTAATATATTCTAATAGAAATTCCAATGAGTATTCCAATTGTATAGCTTCCATTGGAATGGAATTTGATCATTTCAACGGCTATTATTCCAATAGTTTGTTACCGTTGGAAATTCCAATAATGAAAAACTCATTCAACAGAATATTTTTGTTGGAATTTCCGTATAAATTCATTAGAAATTTTAATGGAAATAATAGCATTGAAATATCTATTGGAATTGCCGTTGCAATTCTATTAGAATATATTTCCGTTGAAATTTTTCGTTAAAATTTCATCATATTCTTGTAGTGTGGAGTATCACTACACACAATACAAAAGTCGACTTTTGTGTCTTGGAGATCTTTGTCTTAGAGAACTGGCTCATATCTATGGAAATTTTTGTGTTACGGAGAGCATGTTTCACGTGCCTCGACTTTGTATATTATATGAATTCCTTATGAGAATTTGTTCGAGAATAGTGTTCGTAGTTCGTGCTCGAAGTTTGATCTAGCCGTTTGTTATCATTGTTCCAGTTCAGGCTGGCCGTGACATTTAACAAATTCCGGTCACTTCAAAATAGAAATAAAAGGGTAAAATTTGAGTGATTGGTGTAGCATCTGACTTTCGGTTCAAACGTTCCCGGTGGGTGGCATGCTTTTCTAACAAAACACCAATATAATTAATAATTGTTGCAACTTGCAATTTTTTTGCCCTTTTTTATTTGATTGCTCTTACTTTTCTACCTATCATATCATATTATTTATATTAAAAAAATGTCTTTTTATTTAGGTTTTCTTGGACATTTTGCTCATCATTTATATATAATACTCTCTTACTCACGGTGGGCACATGTTAATATGTCCACCGTTTATGTGGTAATGTGATGTATTTTTTTTAACATATTAACATCACCAATGTGTGCATGCCGCATAAGCGGTGGACATATTAACATGTGCCCACCGTGGGTATAGGAGCATTTTCCCATCTATATATGTATTAACATCACCAATTTGTGCATGTCGCATAAGTGGTGGACATATTAACATGTGCCCACCGTGGGTATAGGAGCATTTTCTCATCTATATATGTATTATTTATATAAAGAGGAGCAAAATTATTTTAATAAAATTATTGGTATTTTTTCTTCAAAATCAATTACAAAACCAAAACATAAACCCTAATTTCTCTTTGCTTTTTTACTTTATCCACCAGCATTAGTAATTGTTTTAAATACAAGTAACAAAATTTTCTGACACTTTGATGGATATATGAATTCACTTGTGATAGTACTTGCTAACTTTTAATGGGGCACAAGAATATGTCTTATATCTAACTAAAATTTTATAGAGCTAGTGGAGGATTTTTTTTTATATATATATTATATAAAATCATCCATAAATTTATTTATCGCGTATAATCATTCGTAAATTGATTTATTGACATTTATCGTGAACGAATTTATTTTAAAATGCACGTCAACAAAGTATTTGTAAATAATAATGGATGACTTTCTGGTATGTATCATATGATATGATGGCTTTATAGTTAACACATATATAGGTTGTCACCTATTGTTAAAAGTGTGGAATGTGCATGCTTTGGCTGTGTTTGACAAAATTAGTTGATAAACTAGTTTATAGCTTATAAATGATTTATGAGCATATAGTTTATGACTTATAGCTGAAAACTAGCTTATAATATAAAATTGTTTGGTAATACTAGCTGATAAGCTAGCTGAAATAAAATTTTCAACGAGCTTATTTGAAAAACTTATGAGATAAGCCCAATTTTTTTTTTAAAAAAAAAAACTCGTCTTACCAAACGGGTTTATTTGGATGCAGGAAGCTTATAAATTAACCAAATAACTTATAAGTTAACTTATAAGTTAATTTATTTGATTATCAAATATAGAAGGGCAAATTAGGAATTCACCTTTGCAATGGGCTCGAGTGAGTTTGACTTGGGCCAACCCACATATTTGAAAACAACAGGAATCCAAAAGGGGGAAGTTATTGTGTGCTTGGATTGCAAGAAAAGTACAAATTGACAAAATAAATGTGAAAATCTGCTACGGTTACATAATTAATTTTATAATCTTTCGATTTTTTATTTTTATTTTACTCTTATTTCCTTCATGTTATGAAAAGGTCAAAATGAATTTTAACAAAAAATGCATATTCCGAAAAGGGAAACTTGGGAACAACTGACCAAATTTTAGTCACAGTTTTCAATGCCCAATTGATCATATGTTTAACAAAACTCGTATTGGACCCTGTGCATTTGCACAGATGCAAATAAAATATTGTGAGTTATTTGTATGCATATAATGATTAATTATTTTTTTTTTATTTTTTTGCATGCCAAATTTACAAATAAAGAAATTGGAATATTTACTTTTTTTTTAAAAAAAATGCGTTTATCTGATTGGATGTAATGTATATTTTAGTACGTCTTTTTTTTTATCAATTATTTAGGAATTTCAAATACGTTTTTAATTTAAAAAAATAAAATAAATGTAACCACAATAATAACATCTAATCACATTGTACGATCAGCACATTATATGGTCAACTGTCACTAATAAAAAGCTTAAAATAATTTTTGTAATTTTGAAGTGATTAGTATTGATTATTTAATAACTAAATGAAAGATTAAATACATAAAAAAGTAACGGTTTTTGGAGGGAAAAGTATTAAATTGCCACATAGGTAAAATTAATTAGGTTTTATTAAATTCTATTGGCTAGTAATTATATATACTAGTTGTAACCTGTGCATTTGCACAGAAAGCTATTTGATAAAGAGTAAAATAATAAAAAATTATAAACAATAGTAAAATCATAACATAATCATTGAAAAAATGTTTTAAAAAAGAACCTTGAAAGGTACCCTCAAATCTAATTGTATGATTTTGAGCCTAGGAATAAGAACCTTATCACCAGCTCTGGCACCGGTTCATATTTTGCATTCGAATACACAGTTGTTGAGCTTAGTAATAACTAATCGAGTATCTGTTGATCTCAAAATTTGGAGAATAAAAACATATCAATCGAATTGTACACTAATCAAAGAAAATATAAACGATAGATAAAAATTTTATGGGCTGCCAATTGAAGTGCACCCTTTATCGTTGGATGCGATTACCATTTGTCATTGTACCGATTATCTTGATATCTTCATAACTATCAGTTGCAACCCCAAGTGGCCTGAAATCAGTCGATTCTTTTCTGAGAGGAACCTCAACCCTGAGGACCGTCTAGATATAATTGTTTCGTGTCATTAATGAGCTAAAAAATAATTATTATTTTAAATAAGTAGTTTAAAAAAATCTAAATATTTTTTTATATGTATAAACTTTCTTATATCCTTTAGTTATTATTAGTTATTATGTATCTATAAATTATATTTTAATTAATTAATGAAAAATGTAACAAATTCTTTTTACAATTAGTTGAATAAAAGGCGCTGATTTTATTTTTACAATAAATTATTTGTCAGTAGTTATATATATAGGAATATAAATATAATCATAACGGGTATGATATTTATTTAAAATATATTTATTATCCTTACTACTACTATTTGACGCTATGAATTTTATTTAAACGAATGCATTTTCTAAAAAATTAAACGCTACTACTATTTGAGGCTATGGATTTTATTTAAATGAATGCATTTTTTAAAAAATTAAACACGTTCTTATGCAACAATAAATTGTTATTTATAAGAATGAATGTTTTATTTTTATTTCCTATTGTATTATACCCACAGGGTTTGGTAGAATAATTTGTAATCGTTCTATTTAAAAAATATATAGAATAAAAGTTGAATTATTAAATGAGCGGATAAAACCGTAACAATTAATTTCAACATTAGTATGCTTGCATATTAAGTAAAAGCGAAGCTACTAATGTAAAAAGAAAAAAAAAAAGAGTGGAATATGTAAATATTTATTGATGTGATAATCCCTATTTTATATATATATAGATTGTTTTAAATTTTAATTAGTTTTTATTAGATGTCATAAAAGAAAATAAAAAGATGAAAATACCATTTAAAAGAGTGAAACATTACAATGTATAATAATAAATGTACAATAATAATCCTTAATTGTAAAAGTAACGTTCATTTGTATATGGAAGGTTGTAGTATTTATTAGGTATAATTTATTAGGTAAAATTAAATAGGTTTTATTTATTAGGTTTTATATATATATATATATATAAATAAATCTCTAGTTATAGCAGTTATATTTTGAGGAGATACTACGGTTTCGTTACATTCCGTTGAGGTTTGCAACCGTAGATCAACTATCTTCGTTCGACGGTTACATGATGATCTAACGGTTGCAAACCCGACAGAACGGTTCCGTAACGGAGCAGTACGTACCATTTTCCTATTATTTGAAATGCCCAATCAAAATTTCATCCATAAATGCCTTATCGATCACTTTGATATTGGGTTGTCCCAGAATTACACAGTAGTTTAGAACATTGGCAGCTCAAAAATGCTGAACTAAAAGTTCAACACGGGTATATATTTGCAACCCAAACTCAAAACTGTACCTCAAACCTTTCATAGTGTCCATTACATATACAACAATCAAGAATCAGATAATTAGAATACTCAAATTTGAAAACTAAAAAGGGGAAATTAAAATTACACACGAAAAATCTTCTAACAAACGACCCGCTGGAAAAAGCGTGTCGGGGAAAACTTCAAACATTTTCTGGAGATGCCGAAGGCTTCAACTTAGGGACTTTGAAATCGGACCTGAACAGCTTCGGGGAATCTGTAATGGTAATAACTCCAACTGCCTTTCTCTTTGAACTACTCCTACTACTACTGTTGTTGCTATCCTGCAAAAATCGATAAGTCAAGTTTTAGAGCTTCGCCAAAGCTAATTAATTTGTTTGAACTTATGAAATTGAAATGTAGCAATTAAATTTTGCTATAAGTAAGAGAAAATAAAATAAAATAAAAATTAACCTTCGTGACGAATTGCTTCCTTGGGGACTTTCCCTCTATCGACTTACAAGCATTTTGCTTTCTCTGGGTTATCTGCAGATAAGAGTACAGATAGGCAGTTTAACTGAAGCAGCACTATCTGTTGTCCAGGGAAAACGGGTTTTATAGCAGCCAAATTATTTTGTCGGGTTCAGGAAAGAAAATTTAAAAACCGAACCCAAAAAAAGAATTTTTGATTCACAAGCATCCAAAGATTTTTTCCCGACACTCGTTATGAATAAGTCAATACCGGAACAATA